AGGGCCTCAGGGCTGGATCATGAGAAGCCTCCCATCTTCTCTAACTACACTCACTTTGAAGAAACCTTATCGAGCCTTGTGGTTTTCACTGGCACCCATGTGCTGCTGATGCTCAAATTTATGTCTTCTGCTTAGATTCCTGCTCGCAGCTTCAGGCTCACTACCTGACTGCCCACTTGGCTTGTTCATTTGGATGTCTAATACCCCCTGGAACTTATCATGTCTAAAAGGACTGATTCCTGCTCTCTGCACAGACCTCCTCTTCCCCCTGCACTCTTTCCCATCTTAACAAATGATCGTTCCCTACTTCCAGCCTGTCAGTCCAAAAACCTTTACTTCTTGACTCTGCCTTTTTTGTTGTTGTTGTTACATCCCACATTCGATTCATTCACAAACACTATCACAAACTCTTTCTTCACAACGTGTCCAGACTCTGCCCCTTCTCAGCTTCTCCCCTGGACACCTTCTCTCCCTGAATTGTTGGCGTAACCCCTCCCTGGTCTCCTTGCTTCTACTTGTTCTGCCCTTAGCAACCAGATGATCCTGTTCCAGAATGAGCCTCACCATGGCCTGGGAGGTCCTGTGCCTTCTGGTCTCCAGTTCTGAGTTCCAAGCTCATCTGTCACTCCCTCCCTCATTCTGTTCCGGCCACAGCGGCCTCTTTTCTGTATCTGGAACTCACTAGGCATGCTTTCACTTGATAGTCCCTCTGCCAGGAATGCTTTTCCTCCAGATACCCATGTACCTATGTGGTTTGTCTTGTCGCTTAAAAAAAAAGATTTATTTATTTTAGAAAGAAAGAGAAAGCATGAATGGGGGTAGGGGCAGAGGCAGAGGTCTGGGCCTGGCATACAGTAGGCCCACAGGCAGAGGCAACAGCAATCTCAAGCAGACTCCACACTGAATGCAGAGCTTGCCTCGGTGCTTGAGCCCACGATCCTGAGATCATGACCTGAGCCAAAACCAAGAGGCAGATGCTTAACCCACTGAGCCACCCAGGCTCCCCATGGAGCTAGTTTCTTTTTAATCAACTTTTTGTCGTATAACTTAGATACAATAAAATGGGGTGGCATGGAATGTGGTATATAAATCTGTTCATCTACCACCCAATTTAAGACAGGGAATATTGGGGATCCCTGGGTGGCGCAGTGGTTTGATGCCTGTCTTTGGCCCAGGGCGTGATCCTGGAGACCCGGGATCGAGTCCCACATCGGGCTCCCGGTGCATGGAGCCTGCTTCTCCCTCTGCCTATGTCTCTGCCTCTCTCTCTCGCTCTCTCACTGTGTGCCTATCATAAATAAATAAAATAATAAAAAAAAGACAGGGAATATTTTTAACCTCCCAGGAAGTTCCTTTATGCCTCTCTCTATTCAATTCCTAGTGTTCCTCACCTCAAGCAACTACCGGGCTGATTTCTGTTGTCATAGAACTTGCTTTAGAACTTCATGGATTGTGTGTCAATTATTCTTCAATTAAAAAGAGAGAGAAAGGTGATCCCTGTGTGGCTCAGCGATTAAGCGTCTGCCTTCGGCTCAAGGTGTGATTCCTGAGTCCCAGAATCGAGTCCCTCATCAGGCTCCCTGCATGGAGCCTGCTTCTCCCTCTGCCCGTGTCTCTGCTTCTCTGTGTGTGTCTCTCATGAATAAATAAATAAAATCTTTTAAAAAGAGAGAGAGAGAGAAAGGAAAGAAAAAAGAAAGCAAAGTTCATGAAATTCAGGCATATTATATGTACCATTTTTCATCTGGCTTTTTAAATTTTTTCATTGAACTAAATGTCTCTCAGATTCTTCCATAGTACATGTGTATTAGCTCATTCATTTTTATTTCTCTGTGTTACTCCTTGTATGAACATACCACAATTTATATATTTGTTCACTTGTCAGTGGGCATTTGAGTAGCTTCTAGTTTTTAGCTTCGATGAGTAAAGCTGCTGAAGTTATTTGCATACAAGCCTTTCTGTGGACATATATTTTATTTCTCTTGGGCAAACACCTAGAAAACTGGAATAGCTACTGGCTCATAGGATAGGCATATGTTTAACTTTGTAAAAAAAAAAAAAAACTCTGAAACTTCTAAAGTGGCCGATTCACTTTACATTCCTGCTAACAATGTGCAGGAGTTATGTTTGCTCCAGGTCTTTGCCAACACTTAGTATTGTCAGTCTTTTTAATCTTAGCCCTTCTAATGGTATGGTGCTGACTCACGATGTCTTTCATCTGGATTTTCCTGATAGCTAATGATGGTGAGCATATTTTCATATGCTTATTATCATTTTTATATCTCATTTTATGAAGGCCTAAGTCCCTTGCCCATTTTTGGTTGGATTCGTTGATCTCTTGTTTTTGATCTATAAGAACTCAGTCTATATTCTAGATATAAGACCTTTATCATATATGTGTATATATGTGTATATGTATGTGTCATCATGTATATGTTATGTATGTGTTATATTTGTATTTATATATGTGTTAATGTCTGCATTACCATATGTATAGTGAATATTTTCTTGCCATCTGTGGCTCGCTGCCTCAAGGACCCCCAGGGCCACTCTCAGGCTTGATGTTTCACTAGAAGGGCTTTCATAGGACTCAAAAGTCTCGTGGTTAGTGTCTATCACACCAAAAGAATGCACAGTAAAATCAGCACAAGGAAAATGTGCATGGGGCAAAGTCTAGAAGAAACCATGCACAACCTTCCACATGTCCTCTCCCAGTGGAGTGGCAAGGGATGTATATAATTTCCCCAGGAGTGAAGTGTGACATGTGCGAAGTATCACCAACCATGGAAACTTACCCAAGTTTGGGTATCCAGTGTTTTTTGTTTTTTTTTTAATCCAGTGTTTATATTGGAGGTCAGCCATGTAGGCATATGGCGCTGCATGGCTGACCTCAGTTACTAAAGATCCAAACCCTTAGATGGGAAGTAGGTGTTCACTATGAATCACAGTGTTAGTGTAAGCTATCTGGACAATCTGGCACACGATGGCTCAAGGCCTTAGGCTTGCAAAACCCTCTTCTTATCCAACAGAACATTCTAGGAGCTCAGTGCCCAGGAGCTATCCAGGGGCCAGTTCTGAAAATATGCCTTTTTGAGGAATGTATAGGGCATGAGCAGACACATAGAGTTAACCCTTCCCTACATGCTTGCCTTTTTATTATCTTAATGATATCTTTTAAAAAAAGATTTTATCCATTTATTCATGAGAGACACAGAGAGAGAGAGAGGCAGAGACACAGGCAGAGGGAGAAGCAGGCTCCGTGCAGGGAGCCCGATGCAGGTCTCGATCCTGGGACTCCAGGATCACACCCTGGGCCAAAGACAGGCGCTAAACCGCTGAGCCACCCAGGGAACCCCAATGATGTCTTTTATAGAGCAGACATTTTTTTAATTTTGGCGAAGTCCAATTTATCAACTTTAATAGTTAGTAATTTTTTTGTTCTAGTTAAGAATTCTTGGGGATCCCTGGGTGGCGCAGCGGTTTAGCACCTGCCTTTGGCCCAGGGCGCGATCCTGGAGACCCGGGATCGAATCCCACGTCGGGCTCCCAGTGCATGGAGCCTGCTTCTCCCTCTGCCTATGTCTCTGCCTCTCTCTCTCTGTGTGTGTGACTATCATAAATAAATAAAAATTTTAAAAAAAGAATTCTTTGCCTACCATTAGGTAACAATGATTTCCTCCTATATTTTCTTCTGGAGACAATATAGTTTTAGCTTTTCTGTTTATATCTACAATATAATTCAAATTAATTTTTTGTATGTAGTGAAGTAGAGGTTAAGAGTAGTCTTTTCCCCTGACAGTCGTATCAGTAAGTATCCAACCAGGAGATAGAAACTGCATAGTAACATGAACAGGAAAAGTGTAGTATAAAAAATTTTTACAAAATTTTTTTTTTACTATGGTCTGGGATTGGAGTATTAAGGTTAGTAAGAAATAGGAAGACTCTCACATGCTATGACCTTGCTTATTTATTCATTTTTAAAGTTGTATTGTGGATTTCTTAAGTTTTTCTATGGAGAAAATCATGCTGACTGCAAACACAGTTTTGCTTCTCTCTTACTATCTGTGGTTTTATTTCTTTTTTCGTGTTTTATTTCACTGACTAGGATTTCAAGTACAATGTAAAATAAAAATGATGAGAACAGACATCCTTGCCTAGTTCCCAATATCAGGGTAAAAACATTGAATGTGTCATTATTTATTATGATGTGAATTGTAGGTACTATTTGTAGATGCCATTTATCAATGGAGTAAGTTCATTACTGGTTTGCTGAACATTTTAATCATGAACTAGTGTAGAATTTTATCTAATAAATTTTTGCATCTATTAAGATATTTTGATTTTTCCCTTCATTCTCTTAATATGATCTTAATGTGATTAATTACATAAAATTCCTAATGTCAAACCAACTTTTTTTTTCCTAGGATAAACTCTGCTGGAAAAAATACACACACATACACCCACACATGCACACTCATACATGCATATACTTTAGATTTGCTGATATGTGGTAAGGATTTTTGTATCTGTCTTCCTGATATTGGTCTTTAATTGTCTTATAATTATTTGTCAAGTTTGGATAGCAAGATTGTGTTGGCCTCTAAAAGGAGTTAGGAAGCATTCCCTTTTTCTTTTTCAATTTTCTGAGAGTTTGTGTATTTTGCCTTTAAATGTTTGATATCAGTCATTCATCATTGAAAACCACCTGGGCTTGGAATTTTCTTTCTGAGAGGAGCCAGTCCTGAGAGAGAAGTGTTCCATACTGTCAATTCCTCATAGAGGTCAGAAAAGGCAAGAAACATAAGGGAAAAACCACATTCTTTCTTCACAGTATAGAGCTATACCTATATAGGGTATGTACGGGTCGTGTCCCTTGTGCCCTTGTTGGGGGTTGGGGGAGAGGTAAGCAGTCCTCTCTAGACAGCTCTGAGCCCTACAGGAGGAGGCACTCATGCGTGTTCTCTCTCTCTTCTCTTCTCTGTCTCTCTCTCTCTCTCCAGCTCTTCCTAGAGAAGAGGACATGGCCAAGACACAAGTAAAGCTGAGGACTTTGCTTTCTTTGCAGGTAGGAGTTGGGGAGGGTGTGTTTATTCTTTCATGAATTGACTGCTCTGACTTTTGCATGTTTATTCATTGGGATTGTAATGTTTATTTAAAACCCAGTTCTGTGAATTTTTTGAGTAATTAAATTTTTGGATAAGTAATATGTGTACATAATTGAGAATTCAAACATACCAAAGGGTGAACAGAGAAATGCAAGTCTCCTACTTTTGCCCCCAGCCCTTCAGTTTTCCTCTCCAGACAACCTCATTTGTATCCTTTTAGAGATAATTTATTTATACATATGCAGTCATTTGAATTTGTATCCTTCATCTATTTCCTTTTTACCCAAGTGGTAGATGCTACACACACAGGTTATCACTTTGCTTTTTTCTAGTGTGGTAAGATATATATAACATAAAATTTGCCATTTTAACCATTTTTTAGCATGCACTCCAATGTGAATTAATTATATTCACAGTATTGTACACTCATTGCCAATTATCACCACCAACCAGTTATCATCAAGCCAAACAGAACCTATATGAACTAAGAAATAGACGTGCCTGGGTGGCTCAGTCTATTGAGCATCTGACTCTCGGTTTTGGCTCAGGTCATGTTCTCAGGGTCATGGGATCAAGCCCTGCTCTGTTGGGCTCTGTGCTTAGTATGGAGTCGGCTTGAGATTCTCTCTCCCTTTCCCCCGCCCCTCACTCACTCTAAACAAAAAAAATAAATAAAATATTTATAAAAATGAATACACTAAGAAATATTTCCTCACTATTAACATATATGTTGTAGTTTATATCAGAATTCAACTCCTTTTTATGGTGGAATAATATTTCATTGTATGCATATACTCCTTCTGTTTATCCAGTCATCTGTTAATGGACACTTGAACCATTTCTACTTGTTAGCTATTGTGAATTATGGTGTTGTGAACGTTGGTGTACAGATATCTGTCTGAATCCTTGTTTCCCATTCTTTGAGGCATATACCTAAGAGTAGAATTGCTGGAGCATATGGTAACTCTATGTTTAACCTTTTTAGAAAGCACCAAACTTCCACAGCAACTGTACCATTATACATTCTTACCAACTGTGTATAAAAATTTCGGTTTCTCCATGTGTCACCAACACTTGGTATTTTTTGTTGCTTTTATTATAACCATCCTGGCAGATGTAAAGTAAAATTTCATTGTGGTTTTGTTTTGTTTTGTTTTTGTTTTGTTTTTCATTGTGGTTTTGATATGCATTTCCCTAACAACAAATGATGTTGAGCATCTTTTTGTGTATTATTGGCCATATACATACTATACATACTATATACACACATATATATATTCTTTGGAGAAATGTCTATTTAAGTTTCTTGTCCATTTTTATTTTTAAAGATTTTATTATTTGTTTTAGAGAGAGAATGTGTATGAGTGGAGGAGGGGCATAGGGAGAAGGAGAGATAGACTCCCAAGCAGACTCCACACTGAGGACCCTGAGATCATGACCTGAGCTGAAATCAAGAGTCAGATGCTTAACTGACTGAGCCACTCAGGGGCCCCTGTCGATTTTTAACTTGGGATTTTTTTGGTGGTTGTTGATTTGTACATGTTCTTTACATATTGTAGATATTAAGTACTTACTACATATAGGATTTGCAAATATTTTCTCCCATTCTGTGGATTGCCTTTTTGCTCTCCTGATAGTATCCTTTGATACACAGAACTTTCAAATTTTGGTGAAGTCCAGTTTATTTATTTTTTAGGGATCCCTGGGTGGTGCAGCGGTTTGGCACCTGCCTTTGGCCCAGGGCGCGATCCTGGAGACCCGGGATCGAATCCCACGTCGGGCTCCCGGTGCATGGAGCCTGCTTCTCCCTCTGCCTGTGTCTCTGCCTCTCTCTCTGTATGACTATCATAAATAAATAATAAAAAAATATTTATTTTTTAATCTTATTGCCTGTGCTTCCAATACTTAAGAAACCGTTGCCAAATCCATAGTCATGAAGATTCGCCTTTATGTTTTCTTCTGAACTTTATCGTTTTAGCTCTTAAATTTATGTCTTTCATTCACTTTATGTTAATATTTATATAGTGTAAGGTAAGGGTCTGTCTTCATTCTTTTGCACATGGATATCCAGTTTTTCCTGCACTACCTGTTGAAAAGATTGGTCTTTCCCCATTGAACAGTACTGACACCTTTGTGAAAAATCAATTGGCCATAAAGGTGAGAGTTTATTTCTGGGCCGTCAGTGCCATTCCATTAGTTTAAATGTCTGTCCTTATACTAGTACCATACTGTTTTGATCTCTCCCGTTGTGCAATACTTTTCAAAATCAGGAAATGTGAGTCCTCCAACTTTTTCTTTTTTAAAGAGATTTTATTTATTTATTCATGAGAGACACAGAGTGAGGCAGAGACATAGGGAGAGGGAGAGGCAGGCTCCCTGTGGGGGGAGCTTCATGTGGGACTCAATCCCAGAACTCTGGGATTACGACCTGACCTAAAGGCAGGTGCTCAACCACTGAGCCACGTGGGTGCTCTTGTTCTTTCTCAAGGTTGTTTTAGTTATTCTGGTCTTCTGGCGATTCTGTATGCATTTTAGGAGAGGTTTCTCCATTTTTTCAAAAACATCATTGGGATTTTGAGAGGGATTGCATTGAATCTTATATTACTTTCGGTGATATACACATCTTAGTGATATTAAATCTTCCAATCCATGGGAACAAGATGTCTTTCAGTTTCTTTTGGTCTTCTTTAATTTCTTTTAGCAGTATTTTGCAGTTTTCAGTGTACACGTCTTATACCCCTTTGGTTAAATTTATTCCTTTTTTTTTATAAATTAATTTTTATTGGTGTTCAATTTACCAACATACAGAATAACACCCAGTGCTCATCCCGTCAAGTGTCCCCCTCCGTGCCCGTCACCCATTCACCCCCACCCCCCGCCCTCCTTTAAAGGCATTCAAATTGGCAAAGAAGAAGTCAAACTCTCCCTCTTCGCCGATGACATGATACTCTACATAGAAAACCCAAAAGCCTCCACCCCAAGATTGCTAGAACTCATACAGCAATTTGGTAGCGTGGCAGGATACAAATTTATTCCTAAGTGATTCTTTGATGTTATTGTAAATGGAATGACTTTTCTTTTTTTATTTTCTTTTTTTAAAAGATTTTATTTATTTATTCATGAGAGACGCAGAGAGAAGGCAGAGACATAGGCAGATGGAGAAGCAGGCTCCATGCAGGAAGCCCAATTTGGGACTCCATCCCAGAACTCCAGGATCATGCCCTGAGCCAAAGGCAAATGCTCAACTGCTGAGCCACCCAGGCATCCCTGGAATCATTTTTCTTAATTTCTTTTGCATATTTTTCATTGATGGTATGTTAAGATACAACCATTTTTTCTTTTTTAGGAAGTTAACTTATTAAAAAAAAAGGAAAGAAAGTTAATTTAGTTTAGGGGCACTTGGGTGGCTCAATTGGCTAAGTGGCCAACTCTTGATTTTGGCTCAGGTCGTGATCTCAGGGTCCTGGGATTGACCCAGCTCCAGGCTCAGTGGCGAGACTGCTTGAGATTCTCTTCCTCTCCCTCTGCCCCTACCCCCACCCACACTCATATGCACACACACATTCTCTCTCTCTCTCTCTCTCTCTCTCTCTCAAATAAAAAAAATTTAAAAAAGAAAGTTATTTAAACTAAAACCTAAAATGAACAGTTCATCCATTTCTCCCACCCCTCCCCACCCACCTCTGGCAACCGCTGACTTGTTCTTTGTATCTATAAGCTTGGTTTTTTAAAATTTATTTTCCACATATAAGACAGATAATTTGGTATTTGTTTCTGCCTAACTTATTTCACCTACCATAATTCCCTCCAGATCCGTCCATGCTGTCATGAATGGCATTGCGTGGATTTTTTTATGGCTGAGGAATATTCTGTTGAATATATGCACTACATCTTTATCCATTCATCTATTGGTGGACACTTAGATTGCTTATGTATATTGGCTGTTGTAGATAATGGCGCAGTGGACACAGGGGTATAGATACCTTTTTGAGCTAATGCTTTTGTTTTATTTGGATAACTACCCAGAAGTGGAATCACTGTATCCTATGGTAGTTCTACTTTTAACTTTTTGAGAAACCTCCATACTGTTTTCCACAATGGCTGCACCTATTTACATTCCCATTAACAGTGCACAAGGGTTCCCTTTTCTCCACATCCTCCACCCAAACCTGTTATTTCTAGTTTTTTTTTTTTATAATAGCCTTTCTAACATTTGTGAGGTGATAGATCCTTGTGGTCTTGATTTGCATTTTCCTGATGATTAGTTATATAGAGCATCTTTTCATGTATCTGTTGGCCATCTATATGGTTTTGGAAAAATGTCTACTCAGATTTTCTACCCATATTTTAATCTGATTATTTGGGTGTTTTTTTTTTTTTTTTTTTTTTTTTTTTTTTTTTTTTTTACTATTGAATTGAATGAGTTCTTTTTTTTTTTTTTGAATGAGTTCTTTATATATTTTGGATATTAGTCCCTTATCAAATATATATTTGCAAATATTTTCTCCCATTCTGTAGGTTGCATTTTCATTTTGTTGATGCTTTCCTTTGCTATACAGAATTTCTTTACTTTGATGTAGCCCCACCTGTTTATTTTTGCTTTTGTAATTTTTGCTTTTGGTGTCAGAGTCAAATGTTTTCTTCTAGGAGTATTAGGGTTTCAGATGTTAATTCAAGTCTTTAATACATTTTTAGTTAACTTTTGTGTTATGAAGTAAGATGGTGGTTCAATTTCATTCTTTTGTGTGTGGCTATCCAGTTTTCTCAGCACCATTTATTACAGACTGTCCTTTCTCCCATTGTATTTTCTTGGTCCCTTTGTCATAAATTTATTGACCATATATGCATAGGTTTATTTCTGCTTATATTCTGTTCCACTATTTGTCTGTTTTTATGCCAATACCATACTGTTTTAATTACTGTAGCTTTTTTGTTTGTTTGTTTTGTTTTTGTAATATAGTTTGAAATCAAGGAGCACAGTGCCTCTAACCTATTCTTTCTCAACATTGCTTTGGCTATTTGGGGTATTTTATGGTGTCATAGACATTTTAGGATTGTTCTATTTCTGTGAAAATAGAATTTTCACGTTGAAATTTTGATAGGAATTGCATGGAATCTGTATATTGCTTTGGGTGGTATGGCCATTTTAGCAATATTAAATTAAATTATATTCATACAGTCTATGAGCACAAAATATCTTTCCATTTATTTGTGTCTTCTCTAATTTCTTAATGTCTTATAGTTTTCAATACACACATCTTTCACCTCCTTGGTTAAATTTATTCCTAGCTATTTTATTCTTTTTGATGTAATTGTACATGGGATTGTTATCTTAATTTCTCTTACTGATAGTTCATTATTATTTTATAAAGACACAAGAGATTTTTTTGTGTGCTGATCATGCTTCTTAACTGAATTTATTATTTCTAACAGTTTTTTGATGGCATCCTTAAGGTTTTCTATATATAATATCATGCATTTGCAAATAGTAACAGTTTTATTCCTTACTTTCCAATTTGGATACGTTTTATTTCTTTTTCTTGCCCAGTTGTTCTGGCTAGGACTTCCAGTACTGTGTTGAATAAAGTGATAAGAATGGGCATCCTGGTCTTGTTCCAGATCTTAGAGGAAAGGCTCTTAGCTTTTCGACATTAAATGTGATGTTCCCTCTATACCCACTTTGTTGAGTTTTTATGATAAACAGATGTTGAATTTTATCACATGTTTTTTTCTGCATCTGAAATAGAACAAATTTTTCTGTGTTAATTTTATATCCTAAAACTATGGTGACTTTTTAAATGAAATCATTAGAGGTTTCTACATATCAGATCATGTCTCTGCAAAGCTTTTAGTTATTCCTTTCCAATTTGGATACATTTCTTTTTCTTGCCTAATTGCTTTCTCTAGAATGTGTAGTAGTATGCCGAATAGAAATGGCAAGAGTGTCATTCTTGTCTTATTCCTCATCTTAGAGGATAGACCTTTCAGACTTTTACCATTAAGTATAATGTTAGCTGTTGATTTTTCACATATGACCTTTACCGTGTTGAGGAAATTCCCTTCTATTCCTAGCTGTGTTTTCACCATGAAAGGGTGATAGGTTTTCTTACATCCTTTCTCTGATTCAGTTAAGATCTCATGTTATTTTCTTCCTTCATTCCATTAATATGGTGTGATATGTTGTTTGTTTTTTGTATGTGGAGCCACCCTTACATTCTTGGGATTAATACCACTTAGTCATGTTATAGTCCTTGTAATATACTCCTGAATATACAAGAACCAGGTTTGGGGACTATCTGTTCAACCTTTTATTTGTTTTTTTAAAGATTTATTTATTTATTTATGATAGAGAGAGAGAGAGAGGCAGAGACACAGGAGGAGGGAGAAGCAGGCTCCATGCTGGGAGCCCAACACGGGACTTGATCCCAGGACTCCAGGATCACGCCCTGGGCCAAAGGCAGGCGCTAAACCACTGAGCCACCCAGGGATCCCCCCTTTTATTTGTTTTTAAATGAAAGTGGTTTTTGAACAGAAGCAAAGGTAATTTTATAATTTTAGCTTTGTAAAGTTCTTTTGGCCTGAGTTTTCTTACAGATGAATTTTTGTGTCTTTTTTTTAGCAAAATAAAAAATGTCATTTTGCATTTTGGTTAATTTTATTATATATTTACAAAGAATATGCCATGTTAGTAATCGGTCTTCTTATGTTTCAGTAAAAGTTTATAGTTTTTTTTCCTGAAAGACATTTTATCCAGGATTTTTATTTGTTCTCAGCTGGAAGATCACTTTTGGATACTCAATCAGTCAATTACTAGAAACTGAAGTCTAGCAAACTTTTTAATCTTTGCCAATTTAACAGGTAAAGGGAAAAAGTAACTCCTTTAATTTCCATTTCAAATTTTCTTTAGTGTAGTTGAACATCTTTTTATATATTTTTCTTTCTAAAAATTATTTATTTATTTATTTATTTGTTTGTTTGTTTGTTTTAGAGAGACAGCATGCAAGCAGGGAGGGGGGAAAAGGGAGAGAGAGAATCCTTAAGCAGGCCCCCCACTGAGTATGAAGCCTAACACAGGGCTTGATTCTAGGATCTGAGCTGAGTCAAAATCAAGAGTTGGACACTTAACCAACTGAGCCATCCAAGCGCCCATAACTTTTCATATATTTATTAGCCATTTGAATTTCTTCTGTGAATCACTCAGATTTTATGTCCATTTTCATTTTTTTATTCTTATAGATTTATAAGAACTTTAAAAAATTTTTTTTAAAATTTTATCTATTCATGATAGTCACACACAGAGAAAGAGAGAGGCAGAGACATAGGCAGAGGGAGAAGCAGGCTCCATATAGGGAGCCTGACGTGGGATTCGATCCCGGGTCTCCAGGATCGGGCCCTGGGCCAAAGGCAGGTGCTAAACCGCTGCGCCACCCAGGCATCCCTATAGGAACTTTTTACATAGTAATATCAATCCTTTGAAAATAATAGATACTGCAAATTCCTTTTTCCAATTGGGAAAATTCAACTTTTTTTAGGTTGTATAGTTTTGTTTTCAAGTATGCCTCTGGTTTTAGAATGGATCCTGACCTTGGTGTCAGCCTTCTCCAAGGTTACTCTTTTCAAAAGGCTGTAATGATTGTGATTATTATAGCTTTAAAAACTAATATATTGGGATCCCTGGGTGGCTCAGCAGTTTAGCACCTGCCTTCGGCCCAGGGCATGATTCTGGAATCCCAGGATCGGATCCCATATCGGATTCCTTGCATGGAGCCTGCTTCTCCCTCTGCCGCCTGAGTCTCTGCTTCTCTCCCTCTCTCTTTGCCTCTAATTAATAAATAAATAAAAACATTAAAAAAAACTAATATATTTTGGCCTTAAGAATGGCTTGAAGGGGTGCCTGGGTAGCTCAGTTAGTTAGGTATCCAACTCTTGATTTTAGCTTAAATCATGAACTCAGGGTTGTGAGATCAAGCCCCACATCAGGCTCCATGCTCAGCTTAAGATTCTCTCTTTCCTTCTCCATCTCCCCCTCCCCCACCCCGGCTTGCACTCTCTCTCTCTCAAAAAAAAAAAAAGGTATACGGTGAGTATCTTCTTTTTATTTTTTCCAGATGATTAGCCAGTTGTCAAGTAACATTTTTGAATGATCTGTTTTCCCTTGTTGCCTAAAACGGCCGTGTATGCATCTAAATCAGCACCTATTTCCAGGCCATCTAGGCTTCTTGGTTTCATGAATATAATGGATTTTTTAACTCTCAAAGTCTGCTGCCCACATGGGTAGGGATTTTGTTTGAAGAACAGGTGGGTTTTTTTTAAATTTTTATTTATTTATGATAGAGGAGAGAGAGAGAGAGAGGGGCAGAGACACAGGCAGAGGGAGAAGCAGGCTCCATGCACCGGGAGCCCGACGTGGGATTCGATCCCGGGTCTCCAGGATCGCGCCCTGGGCCAAAGGCAGGTGCTAAACCGCTGCACCACCCAGGGATCCCCGAACAGGTGGTTTTTAAAAACAATTATGTTGCATATTCATCCTTTCATGACTCATTAATGAAAATCATTTAAAACTATTAATAGGCACTTTTAGCTTTTTACTTTTGCATAATCAGGTTGTAAAGTTTTATTACAAATCAAAAATATCTTCAAAAAATTCTCAAGTTGATTAGCTGCAAAAATTCAAAGCCTTCAGTATTTAGTTGAGTTAATTTCTCATTACCGTGATAGGATTGCAGCTTGTAATTGTTGGACATATTAAACCAGACAAAGGAGAATATGGTGTTTACTTAGGCATTCTCTGACTAGCTTGGGGGGACAGGCTCTCAGCTGGTGAACAGGGTGCTTTTTTCCCTTTGCCCCCTTGTGTTCTGGGATTGCATGGGTGTCTGCTTCAGTGACTGGAACTCTGAGGTAGCTGCTACCTTGGTCGGATCTCTCAGGCTTTGTCCTCTCACGGCTTTGGTGAGGATGCCCTGTGATAATGTGACTCAGCCCTCAAACCTGGTCTGGCCCCCTGGCCTCTGCTGCCCTGGCCTATGGGCGACATCAGTGGATCTTCTTTGGTGAGGAGGCTCCATTCATGGCAATGTGGGCACCACCACTTGTAGAATCTCTGTCTCATGGAGAAGAGTCCCCACTGCCCATGGGGTCTCCAGCTGTGGTGATGAACCTACTCTTACCTGAGGAGTTCTGTCCGTGGGGTCTCCAACTCTATGGGGGAAGGGCATGTCCTCCAGTGATGGCCCAGCTTTGCTCTTGACTTCCTCTTTCCCTCTCACTCTGTTATGACAACTTGGGTATTCAGACCTGAAAAACCAACATTGGAAGTTGGAGGCAAAGAGTGGTCCTGAGATCCCAGGAGTGGATAAGCCTAGGGGGACCCCAAAGAGGGGAGGAGAGGGATCTGATGGGGTATAGGATGGAGGGCTGTGGACCCCAATCATTTAAGGAGGAGAAAGATGGGGAGGACACTAAACAGGAAGGGCCAGGACAGTGTGCTGCATGTGGGTGGAAGAATAAGAGTGAAGGGTAGCCCTGGTGGCACAGCGGTTTAGCGCCGCCTGCAGCCCGGGGTCTGATCCTGGAGACCTGGGATCAAGTCCCGCGTCAGGCTCCCTGCATGGAGTCTGCTTCTCCCTCTGCCTGTGTCTCTGCCTCTCTCTCTGTGTCTCTATGAATAAATAAATAAAATCTTTAAAAAAAGAATAAGAGTGAAGACATACACAGTGGAGACAGTGCCACAAACAAGCTGTCCTTCAGCATCATTCTGCACATCCCAGCACCTAGTTCCCCCTTGTCTGCTCTGCCCCAGCCAGCCTTCCTTCCGGTTACTCTTTTTTCCTATTCCAAGTAATTTAAGAGACATACTTCCTCTTTATCTATCTCTTCATCTTAAAAACAACATCCCTCTCCCCCTCCTTCAAATATCATCTCTACCCTGGAATCTGTAGGAATCTTCTTGCTCTTTATGGTCTTACCACTTATATCCCTAAAAACTAGACCATTCAAATGCACAATGTTTGAACTCTGTTAATCTGCCAGGGTGGCTATAACAAAACACCACCAACCACATGGCTTAAACAACAGAAATTCATTCTCTCACAGTTCTGGAGGCTGAAGGTCTAAGATCAAGGTGTCATCAGGGTTTATGGTGAAAGCTCTCCTCCTGGCTCGTAGAGGGACACTTCTCTCTGTGTCCTCACATGGCTTTTCCTCTATGTGCATGCACTCGTGTCTCCTCTTCTTACTAGGACCCATCAGATTAAGGCCTCACCCTTATGACCTCATTTAACCTGAACTGTCTCTTTAAAGGCCCTATCTATAAATACAGTCACATTGTGGGTTGGAGGTTCAACAGATGGCTTGAGGGGAAGAGTATAATTTCGATCTCTAACCCTGAATAAATACATATTCCGTGGATTCAACTACAGCTTGCTTCTTTGCTCTTGACTTCACATTCCAGAGATTCGCTCAACTGTCTATAGCTGTCATTACTCATCTGGAATTTCTTACTGCACAAACTAGAACTTCCAGAAGAATATTAGAGTAGCAGACTCAGTGTTGCTGTCCTGTTCCTGTTTGAACCAGATGTACTAATGTCTTGTGTTCAGCATGCTATAAGCCAATGTTTCTTTGTATATACCTTCCCCTGCCTGCTGGGATGCTGCACCCTGTGATGCACTGTGCATGGTATATCCACTGCCCAACACTGCCTCTTGTAACGTCTCAGGACCCAGTGACATTCCAGGATGTGGCTGTAGAATTCACTCAGGAAGAGTGGGAGCACCTGGGCACCACTCAGAGGGCACTGTACCGAGAAGTCATGCTGGAGAACTACAGGAGCCTAGCCTCCCTGGGTAAGAGTGGCCCTGGGCCCATCCTGAGCACTGGCCTGGGGAGGAACACGAGGCAGCACCCTGGGAGGGTTGGGGGACACAAGTGCCTTCTGCTCAGGTTGTCTGCTTAACTGCTGGGAAGAGGGGAGATGGTAAGTAATTGAACTTGGTAAGTGATAATTTTTTAATTAAATAAACACAGATAAAATAGATTATAATGAAAATATGTGAGATTTTAAAAGATGCAATAGAGACTAGAAAGGGGTTTTAGACTCTGAGAGGCACAGTCCACTAACAATGCTTGAAGGCCTGTGCACACCCACCCTGCCAATATGGGTTGGTGAATGAGGATTCTGCTCTCTCCTCTCTGTCCAAACCATGAGTCCCAAGGCCCTGAGGCCTCTGAGCCACAGGATCATACTTTGATGTTCAGAGGACATAGGCTTAGGGTGTTTCCACTGCTTGTTCTCTGTGTGGCAGGGAGCAGGAGGCTGAGGCTGCCCCTACCCCCACTCTGGGGTCATCCATCATTCCCTGAAGACAGGGAAATAGCAGCAGGGTCCTGGGCACATGCTTGTCACTGGCTCAACACTTGCACCTCTTGTCTTCCCTGAACAGGGTGCCAGGATTTCAAGCCTGATGTGATCTCCCAGCTGGAGCAAGGCAGATCACCATGGATGGTGTGGAGAGACATCCCTAGAGACCCCTCTCCAGGTGAAGAGATGGGAAGGGGGCCCAGGAGCTCATGCAGAAGGCTGTTCAGGAAGCCAGTAGTTTCTAGAAGTGCAGGAGAAATCCCAAGATAAATCAGGGCTGCCTGGAGAATAATCCCTGCACGGAAGCCACATCCTGCCTCTCCCATTCCTCTCCTGCACAAGTCCGGGCCCTGCAGGGGGTGTACTGCCTGCCTGGGCCCCTTCCCAGTGGCACTGGCTTCCTTCTTCCCTCCTCTCAGGTGTACCTCTTCCCCCATCCTGCCAGGGGTTCTGTCCTCTCTAGAGAAGCCCCTCAGTGGCCAGTGATGCCACTTTCACCTCCCTCCTCTTTCTTGCCATCTGTTTGATCTCCATTCCTTTCCTCTTAATCTACCTTGAATTTTAGGTAAGTCTACTAGGAATGGCTTGGTAAACACATCCACCACCTGCTGGAATCCACACCGTGGTTTTCTGCTTCCTGCTGCATTCAGCCTCAGCAGGACTTCCCATGATCCTCTCCATGTCAGTCAACTCCTCTGTTTTCTTGTCTTCTCACACCCCCTCACTGTGTTGGATTCTGCCTGAGTCCTTTATCCCACTTGCTAACTCTGACCCCAACTCAATTCAATAGTGACCATGGGTTGCCTCTGATAGTAGGAGAATGGAACCATCCTTACAGACCTGGTGATTTGGCATTGCTGAGAATTAACTGTGGCAGCTTACAAAATGGGCAAGAACTGCTGGGGATTTACCCCAAAGGTACAGATGCAATGAAATGCCGGGATACCTGCACCCCGATGTTTATAGCAGCAATGTCCACAATAGCCAAACTGTGGAAGGAGCCTCGGTGTCCATCGAAAGATGAATGGATAAAGAAGATGTGGTTTATGTATACAATGGAATGTTACTCAGCCATTAGAAATGACAAATACCCACCATTTGCTTTGATGTGGATGGAACTGGAGGGTATTATGCTGAGTGAAATAAGTCAGTCGGAGAAGGACAAACATTATATGGTCTCATTCATTTGGGGAATATAAAAAATAGTGAAAGGGAATAAAGGGGAAAGGAGAAAAAATGAGTAGGAAATAGAAAGGGAGACAGAACACGAGAGACTCCTAACTCTGGGAAACGAACTAGGGGTGGTGGAAAGGGAGGTGGGTGGGGGTGACTGGGTGACGGGCACTGAGGGGGGAACTTGGTGGGATGAGCACTGGGTATTATTCTATATCTTGGCAAATTGAACACCAATAAAAAATAAATTTATTTTTAAAATGGGCAAGAGAAGAGGTTGGAGGCTGAGATATTAGTGGTGACATTTCATAGTGACCCAGGCACATAGTGGGTTATATTCTGATCTGTTTCTCTTCTGCTATCCTTATTCTAGTGATTCCCCTCATTACTGCCCTCTTGTCCATTCTTAAGTCCCTGTTTTCACCCTTCGTTGATTCTAGAAAGGCAGTCCTCACTTGTAACTTACCTCAGGTGTCACTTACCATCACCCCTGTAACCACTTGCATGTCCCTGTTCACATCTTCCTTGCTCCCGTGCACAGTGGCTCTTGGCTTACGTGACATTTGAAATCAGTCAAAGCACCATACCTCTGTTTGGGGAATCAAAGAATAAAAACAATAGTAACATATTATATGTAGCTTTGACTAGCTCACACTTTGTATTTCTCTAAAAGGTCAAATATCTTCCACTTTTATTTCTTTCAGACCAAGAGACCAGATCTAGAACTGCAAAGTCAAATCTGAAGCAACTAATTTCTGAAGAATTTTCCCAGGGCATGGTAATCAACAAAGGTAAAAGGAATGGAATCTGTTACTCCACCAGAGAAGTCCTAGAATCTCTTAGCTGTTTAGAGAGCCATCCAGGGCAGATGGCATTTATCCGTAAGAAAATCCTGACTCAGGAGAACATTCTTGAAGATACTGGATTTGAGTGTGGACAGCAGTCAGACTTTGTTACTCAAAGCACAATTCCTTCAGGGAAAACAAAGTATAAAGATGACAGTTATGGCAGCAGCTTTTCACATAGCCTAAATCTAAGTAATCATCAGAGAATCTACACATGTGAAAAGCTATACAAATGTGATCAATGTGGGAATGACTTTAGCTGTGGTCTGGATCTCACTCAACACCAGAGTACACATACTGGAGTTAACTCATACCTTATTAGATACCAGAAATTTGGTGCTAGAGAAAAGCCCTTCAAATGCAGAAATTGTGGCAAATCTTTTAGGAGGGGGACACACCTTATACAACATGAAAGATGTCACACAGGAGAGCGACCATATGAGTGTAATGTATGTGGGAAGTCCTTCAGCTGGGACTCGTCCCTTATTCTACATCAGAGAACTCATACTGGAGAAAAACGCTATGAGTGTAGGGAATGTGGGAAGGCCTTCAGCCAAAGTACATGTCTCACACAGCATCAGAGGATTCATACAGGAGAGAAACCTTATGAATGTAATCAGTGTGGGAAGGCCTTTAGCCAAAGTTCACATCTAACTCTGCATCAGAAAACTCATACTGGGGAGAAACCCTATGAATGCAATCAGTGTAGCAAAGCCTTTATTCAGAGCATTCAACTTACTCTGCATCTAAGAACTCATTCTGGAGAGAAACCTTATGAATGTACTGAATGTGGTAAGACCTATAGTCATAGCTCATCCCTAATGCAGCACAAGAGGATTCATACTGGAGAAAAACCCTTTGAATGTAAAGAATGTGGGAAAGCCTTTACACAGAGCATTCAACTTACTTTACATCTGAGAACACATACTGGAGAGAAACCCTATGAATGTACTGAATGTGGCAAAGCCTATAGTCATAGGTCATCCCTTATTCAACATAAGAGGATCCATACTGGAGAAAACCCCTTTGAATGTAATGAATGTGGGAAAGCTTTCCGATGGAACACACACCTTACTCAACACCAGAGAATTCATACTGGAGAGAAACCTTACAAGTGCAAAAAATGTGACAAATCTTTCAGCAGAAGTACACACCTTAATCAACATCAAAGAATTCATACTGAAGGGAAACCCTACAAGTGTAACGAGTGTGGGAAGACTTTTGGTCAGAGTGTGTATCTGACTCAACACCAGAGGATGCATACTGGAGAAAAACCCTATCAGTGTGAGGAATGTGGAAAGGCCTTCACTGTAAATGCATACCTTGCTCAACATCAAAGAATTCATAAGAGAAATAAACCTTTATTATGTGGCAGTCACAAAGAAATTTTGACTGGAGAGAAATTCAACAAATGTATTTAATGTGGGAAAAATTTCAGCATAAGCACAGGTATTCCTCAACATGAATAAATTAATAAAAGAGAGAACTCCTATAAATATAACTGTGGAAAATATTTCACTTCTACCATGCCACAAATGCTAGAATACTAATATGTTCATCATAAAGAAAACTAAAAAAGTGGAAAATGTGTGAAATGTTTTAATGTAATATGACCTCTTACTATAAGTTTAAAAAAAAGATTTTATTTATTTATTCATGAGAGACACAGAGAGAAGCAGAGACACAGGCAGAGGGAGAAGCGGGCTCCTTGCAGGGAGCCCAGTGTGGGACTCGACCCCCAGGCCCAGGATCAGTACCCAAGCCGAAGGCAGATGCTCAACCACTGAACCACCCAGGCATCCCATCTCTTACTATAGGTTAAAGGAAAAATACTGAGGAGAACCTTATAAATAACATCTTTAAAACCACAAAGTTTGGGCAGCCCGGGTGGCGCAGTGGTTTAGCGCCGCCTGCAGTCCAGGGTGTGATCCTGGAGATCCGGGATCGAGTCCCACGTCGGGCTCCCTGCATGGAGCCTGCTTCTCCCTCTGCCTGTGTCTCTGCTTCTCTCTCTCTCCTGCTCTGTATCTCTCATGAGTAAATAAAAAATAAAACTTAAAAAAAAATAAAACCACAAAGTTTCAAATGAAAGTTAAATCTTCTTATATATCATGCTGAATTTCTAGAAAAGTTGTAGGAATAATGTCTGTTGAATCTATAAATGATATTATATATAAGGAGGCCTCACTCTACATATACAGAGCTTTAAATACTGTAGATCATGGGCCAAATCCAACCTGCACCTTTGTTATAAATAAAATTTTATTGGCACAGTCACATCTATGTGTTTATGTAAACAATAGAAATGTATTATCTCAAAGTTTGGGAGGCTTATGTCCAAGGTCAGGTGTTGGCATGTTTGTTTTCTTCTGAGTCTCCTCTCCTTGGCTTGGAGATGGCTGTCTTCTTGCTGTGTCCTTACGTGCCCTTTCTTCTGTGTACTTATCCCGGTGTCTCTTCCTCTTCTTTTAAAGACACCAGTCCTTTTGGATTAGGGCCCCATATTTATGACCTCATTCCACTATACTCACCTCTTTAAAGGCCCTGTCTTTAAATAGTCACATTGAGGTTAAGGGATTTGTTTTAAGTTTTTCAGATTGCTGTAACAGATACAATGTATACTGGGTGGCTTATAAACAACAGAAATTTATTTCTAACAGTTCTGGAGGCTGAAAAGTTTAAGATCAAAGTGTTGGAAGATTCAGTGTTTGGTGAGAGCCCACTTCCACGTTCATAGATGGCCATCTTTTTGTTGTGCCCTCATATGTTGAGAAAGGTGAGGAATCTTTCTGGGCTCTCTTTTATAAGGGTACTAACCCTATTCATGAGGGCTTTACCTTCATGACCTAATCACCTCCTAAAGCCCCCCACTTTCTAGAACCATTACTTTTGAGGTCAGGATTTCAACATGAATTTTTGTAGACCGTAGCAGGCTTCAACATATGTATTTGGAGGGAACACAACTCAGTCCATAACAAGCCTGTGAAACCTAAAATATTCTCTAGCCCTTTACAGAATAAATGTCCTGAACTTGAGGGTAGATGATCAACTAGAATATGTCAACATTCTGCATTGTATACAAATTTCTTTTTTTAAAAAAGGTAAATTAGGGCAACATAATAGTCATAAAATGTACCATAGAGAGAACCTACCTGTTTTGTAATTGTTGAATTATTTTTGCAAAAATTACCAAAAGGATCTTTTTCCTTGAAAATAGAAGACAAAAGTGTTTCTCTGAAGTAAATTCTATGACTTCTCTAATTAATAACTTTTGTAGCAAATACTGTTCAGATCACCTCCTATTTATCCCATTGGTGAGGGTGGGATCCTCCACCCTACATAATATAAGACAGCTAAACACATGGCACCCGACACTGGTCTTGATGACTGGCCAGAGGTTTATTAGTCACATATCCCAATGCAGGGAAGGACACCACACACCACAGCACACAAACACCACACATGGGTTGCACTCAGGAGCAGAGCAAACCAGTAGGAGCAATGGGAGGCAGGCTTTGTAGCAGCAAGAGAGTGAGATATTCCCTGTTTTCACTGGAGAATGTGACTGGCTTCTGTGAATAATTCATGGGCTGGTAGGGTGAGGATGGGACACTGGCCCAGGTGAGAGGGAAACTACCTGGATTAGAGCATTTCCTGTTGGGCGGTGGGCATATTGGCAAGAATAAGGGAATCCAGTTAGGTGTCTAGGGCCCTGTGAGGCTCCAAGATGTCCAGGCAATGGTGAAATTCTAATTCTTACACACAGCATTAGAAATCAGGTTTGTCAGGGGAAGTTTTCAGTCTCCTACCACCAATCTAAGTTGCCTTACTAGTAGTAAACCCTCCTTACACCAACTTTTTCACATGACTTTTTCACTTTATATTTCTTCCAAATGATCCCAACTTTCCTAGTCCTTTGCTTCCTGTTAAAATTTTAGAGTGAGCTTGTCCATTTCTATCTATAAAAAGTGTATTATTTTTATTTAAATGCATTTTCTGCATCAGGCTGTTTTTTCTCCTTTACTGTGTTAATTAGGCTAATTACATTGATTGATTTTGAAATATTAAACCAACTTTTCATTCCTTGAATAAGCTCCACTTGGTCATGATATATTACCCTTTCTAAAGTATTGCTGGATTGGATTTGCTATTTTAATACTTTCATTTCTATGTTCTTGCATCATTGTTCTGTAATTTTCTTTCCTTGTAATGTCCTTGTCAGTTTTGGGCTTAGGATTATTTAAGCCTCTGAAAATGACTTAGGAAGTATTCCCTCCCATCTTATTTTATGAAATATTTTCTGAAAAACTGGTATATTTTTTCCTTAAATGTTTCAGACTCATGGAATTCATCACTTGAGTCTGAAATTTTATTTCTAAGAACGTTTTCAATTACACTGAGGCAGGTAAGAAGATCCAGCTGCCTTGTATTACATTAAAGAGATTTGGGGGGGAAAAAGGCTGTCAAATAATGCTCCTCTCCTCACTATTGTTTTGGAAAATACAGGATTTTTTTTTACTGTATTTTTCACAATACAGTACTGCAGGACTTTTTAATGTAAATATTCTTGATTAACTAGTTTTCAAAATAATGATACAAACTTAGCATTCTTCTTGGAATGGAAAACTTGCTTGGAGGTTACTTCATTCTTTTTCTCTTTTTCAAAAGTGCATCTCGTAGTGCCAGCTGCTTTTCATGAAAGGAACGCTTGTTTTTTGACCAGACGTTATGGTTATATCACATCATCATAAAGTTCTGTTTTTTCTTCTCTTTATTTGTGGAACTGGAAAATGGGTTCATTTTGGTTTTCTTCCTCATGAATTATTTTCAGTCTGTCTTTCCAGCCACTGCTGTGGCTAGTCTTGTCTCCTTGTCAGATTTTGGCTTTTTATGAATGCGTTCAAGGTCCCGACGAGAAAGTAACTCACCCCTGGGCTCCTCATCACTATCTATTTCAATATACTTCCTCTTTTGGGCTTTCTCTGGGTTAGTGTCAAGTTTTTTCCTCATTTGGGCTATGCGGACTTTCTGGAAGTCTTCCTGAGTTAGTACTCGGCTTGTGCTAATGGCTGCAGCTTTGGCTTTCCGCTCCCCCATGGGCATCCTGTTGAGCTTCTTGAATATTTCTTGCTGCTCTTCATCAGAAGAGTGATGCACATCAACCCACTCACCATCAGCATCTGCCTCCTCACTGAGACTGGTGCTTTCCCACCCATACTCAACATTTTCAGAATTCTCTTCTTTTCCAACTTCTAGAACTTCTGCTCCTGGAATGTAATCTTTAGCATCTAATTCTCCATATTCTTGCACTCTTGCTTCTATGGAGGCCTCTGTAGGCTTACCCCAGAATTTCTTCTGCAACATCTTAGGATTCACTGTTTGGAAAAGCTGAGTCAAAGTTCTAGCAGACATCATCACATTCTTATCTCTGTGTGTTTTATACTAAGCCAGGTCTTGGAGAAGTTCTTCAGTCGTGGCTAGAGGACATCAAGCTGTTATCTCTTTTATAGCATTGATTCCTACTGTCATGACCTCCCCAGAGTTCTTGCCAGTGACAAAATTGTTGGCAACAGTCATGAGCACTGACTGAATGATCTCTAGGAGTACTAAGTGATGAGATGCTTGGGCAGCAAACAGAAGGATCTTCGTTACTTCTCTTTGGTGGGGCTGCAGAAACCTTTGCACAAAGTGATAGAAGTTGAAGAGAAAAAGCTCCTGAATTCCCACCAATCTGGAGATGAGGCTCATGAGCATCATTTTCACCTCAAACTTCTCTGTACAGCTCTCTAGCTGTTTTAGAATTTTTCTGCAAAATCTTGGGGATCATGAATCAAATGAATAGCTGAAAAGTTAAACACCTCTGGTTTCTTTTTCTTTTTTTATTTTTTTTTCTTGAGCACTTTCATAGCCTTTTCTAACTTTTTCTTGTGTTTGGAGCTTTTCTTCCCCGTGGCATTTGCACTAGCAGGTCTCTTGCTGTTGGTCCTTCATCCTCGGATTCTGAGTCACTGTCCTGTTTCTCCTCTTGATCTTTCCCAAGGAAAAATGTCAAAGCAGCAACTAATATCTTGGTGACCTTAGGGAAACATGCAGTTGTGATCACATTGACAGTTTTGGCATCATTCCAGATGTTTCTTCTGTAGAGTTCAGTCATCACATCCAAAGATATCTTGGCTGCAGTTGCATTGCTCTCTTAACATGGTATACATGAATTTCTGCAACACAATATTCACTTTATTCTTCTGTTTTGCATTTATATTCTTGATATCAGTGACAATATGTGTGTATAAAGTCTTTCACAGGGATCCCTGGGTGGCTCAGTGGTTTAGCGCCTGCCTTTGGCCCAGGGTGCGGTCCTGGAGTCCTGGGATCAAGTCCCACGTCGGGTTCCTGGCATGGAGCTTGCTTCTCCCTCCTCTTGTGTCTCTGCCTCTCTCTGTCTCTCTCTATGTCTATCATAAATAAATAAATCTTTTTAAAAAATAAAAAATAAAGTCTTTCACAGGGGCAGCCCTGGTGGTCCAGCGGTTTAGCACCACAGTGGTTTAGCACCACCTTCAGCCCGGGGTGTGATCCTGGAGACCCGAGATCGAGTCCCACATCAGGCTGCCTGCATGGAGCCTGCTACTCCCTCTGCCTGTGTCTCTGCCTCTATCTTTCTCTCTGTGTCTGTCATGAATAAATAAATAAAATCTTTAAAAAAAATAAAGTATTTCGCAGAAGATTATCATGGCAATGCAGGAGTTCAAAAAAGAGTTCTAGTAAACCTGATGGACTGACGAGATTCTTATTTCTCAGCAAGATCAAAGCTTTGCAAAATGTCATTCAAAGATCTGGATCCAAGACTGTGATTATAGGAGAGATCTTACAGCTCTTGAGGAAAGTTACTTAAGTGTTCTGGATAGCAGTGACCAATCTATGCCATAAACCTCACTAGCTCTGCCAATTCTTTGCTAGGTTTATTTGGTTGTAATTTGAAAATCTCCACATTGGATTTGGAGTGATTATACTGCTGTAGAAACTCCTCGATGTAGGCTGGCGAATCCTGCTTTGATCAGATTCTGTAACTGTGGCAGGTTTCTGGGCAGTTTGTTATTGTTTCTGTTAGACATGTTGGCTGCTGAGTGGCTCCTCAGAAAGCAGTCTTAAGAAGCATCACACCACCAGCAACCACCAACAGCCAAAATACAGGATTTTTATTCCATTTTACAAATGGAATATGTTAAAATGTGTTATAGATTGTGTACACGCCCAAAATTCATTCATATGTTGAGGTCCTAATGCCTGGTATGTGAGAATGTGACCTTACTTAGAGATAAGTTTTTGCAGAGGCATTCGAATTAAAATGAGGCCTTTAGGGGCTCCTGGGTGGCTCAGTTGGTTAAGCATCCAACTCTTGGTTTTAGTTCAGTTATGATCATGGGCTCAAGCCCCATGTTGGGCTTCTTGTTCAATGGGGAGACACTGTAGATTCTCTTTCTCTCCCTCTCCCTCTCTCAAATACATAAATAAAAATAAATTAAATAAACAAATTAAAATATAATGAGGTCTTTAGAGTGGGCCCTAATCCAATATTACTAGCGTTTTTATAGGAAGGGGAAATTTGGAGACAGACACACACACACACACAGGAAGAATGCCATGTGAAGATGAAGGCAGGAATTGGAGTGATGCTTCTATAAGCCAAGAAATGAGAAAGATTGAAGCAAACCACCAGAAGCTATGGGAGAATCATAGAACAGTTCTTCCTCATTATTCTCAGAAGGACCAGCGCTGCTGACACCTGGATCTCAGATTTCTAGTCTCCAGAACAACAAGGCAATACATTTCTGTTGTTTAAACCACTTAGTTTGGGCAGCCCTGGTGGCTCTGTGGTTTAGTGCCGCCTTCAGCCCAGGGCATGATCATGAAGATCCAAGGTTGAGTCCCATGTCGGGCTCCCTGCATGGAGCCTGCTTCTCCCTCTGCCTGTGTCTGTGCCTCTCTCTCTCTCTCTCCTTCTCTCTCTCTCTGTCTCTCTCTCTCTCTCTCTCGTGTCTGTGCCTCTCTCTCTCTCTCTCTCTCTCTCTCTCTGTCTCTCATGAATAAATAAATAAAATCTTTAAAATTTTTTTTTGGTATTTTGCAGCTCTGGGAAACTAATACAACATTTATTTGGTTTATTTTGTTAAATTAATAAATGTTTCTAAAATTCCTCAACTTTATTTTCAAATGCAGTAGAGATAGATATAATTCACATAAGCAAAAACCCTTTGGATTCCCAGTAATTTTAAGAGTGTAAAGGGCTCCTAAGACCAAAAAGTTGAAGAGGTATTGTGTTGGACCATAATCACATTGTCCCACAAATCTCAGATGATTTGTTCTGTGTTTTTTTTTAATCCCCACTTCATTTTCTTACTGTATTTCAGTTAGGATAATTTCTACTGGCCCATTTTCATCAATGCATTTTTCAATTGGTTCTTTTTAAAGATCCATTCCTCGGATGAGCTTCCTCATCCACTTACTTGTTTGACCTATCTTTTCTTGTAAATTCTTTCACATAATTTTGATAGTTTTGTCAAACTCTTAGCTAATGCTTTCATATGAGTCTTCTGTGGGTTTCTTCACATAGACTTTTTTTCTCAACTATGGGTCATTCTCTTCTGGTTTTTTTGCATGTCTAGTAATATTTTAATTTATAGTTGCCATTGTGGATGATCCTGTGAAAAGATTCTGGATTCTATTATCTTCCTTTAAAGAGTGTTGAGTTTCATTCAGGCAGGCAGTTAAATTGTTCACAATGATCCTGTGAGATCTTGGTTTTAGGCTTTTTTTTTTTAAGGAAGGTCTATTTTAGTTTTGCCCTTAGTCCTAGAACATAGCCCTTAACATTGGGCTATATCTTTACCACTAAGACCTGCACCTTCTGGGATTCCAATGCAAAGCTCCAGGTATTTAATAAATCCATTGGTGAGAGTTAAATACCAAACTGTTGAGATCTCCACTCAGCTTTTTAGCCTTCCAAATGATGCTTAGAGGAAAACATCCTTGAAGTCATATGCAGTGTAGTAGTCACTCAAGAATTTAAGGGGAATTTTAAAAATATTTTATTTATTTATTCATTCATTCATTCATTCATGAGAGACACAGAGAGAGAGAAAGAGGCAGAGACACAGGCAGAGGGAAAAGCAGGCTCCATGCAGGGAGCCCGATGTGGAATTCAATCCAGGACCAGGACCACGCTCTGGGCTGAAGGCAGGTGCCCAACCACTGAGCCACCCAGGGATCCCAGAATTCAAGGGGAATTTTTATGCAGATTTTTAGGCTTACCCTTATTTGATTATCTCCAAGTTCCTGGATTTTTGCTCTCAATTTAGAATCTTTCCAGAAGTCCGCAAACTCTGGCCTCTGTATCATCAGCCCATTATCTGCTTGAGATCCATTCCTCTATGCAAGTTTATAACTATTCTTGGCAAGAAGACTAGTGGGATACAAGCTACCTGTACAGGTACTTGGAAAAGGAATTTAGGTTATAACACCAAACATTAATTAATAAGACATTATTAATGTTTAATGTGTTTTGGCCTTTAAAATCTTCCTATTATTTTAAGTGCCTTTAATTTTTTTATTGAGGTATAATTGATGTACATTATATTAGTTTCAGGCATATAACATAGTAAGTTGACATTTGTACACACTGTGGGCTTTTTACTTTTATTTATTTTTTTTAATTTTTATTTACTTATGATAGTCACAGAGAGAGAGAGAGAGGCAGAGACACAGGCAGAGGGAGAAGCAGGCTCCATACACCGGGAGCCCGATGTGGGATTCGATCCCCGGTCCACAGGATCGCGCCCTGGGCCAAAGGCAGGCGCCAAACTGCTGCGCCACCCAGGGATCCCCAGGCTTTTTACTTTTAAAATGGTATATGTACCCATATTTTGCTGGAACTTCATATGGCCCTGCTAATCAGCCCTCAGGATTTTACATGCATGACCCTAAGAAGTCAGAAAGTAACTTAGGACATCTCCTTAAATACGTGAGAGTCTTACACTACCTATTGTCAATTAAATGCTTTTCACAGCTCAAGAATTATAAAGCAGTAACTGTACCCTCCCATCTACATCCTTATTTTAGTCTGGACACATCATTGTAGCTACTGTCTTGTTAATTTTCAGGACTGGTAGGTAGAGATACGAGTGGACAGAGCACTCAATATAGAATCTCTGGAATTGCACTGATTTACATACAGTCACACAACCAGAACTATGAGACCCACAGTGACATAAATATGTTCACTGGGGCATAGATTCACAAAAATGCACACACTGATGAGCACTGTGGGTACACACAGACACACTGAGTGACACACTGAGGAACATATACAGCAAACGCTGACCCACATAAACACACACTCACCGAAATACAAGCGCCTTCTGCAGCAATAGGGGCGAGGGAGATTGGGGCGGGGCCAGAGTGTTTGGCCGCTGTACCGGGAGCTACATTTCCCAGAAGGCTGTGCCATAAGCTCGTTTGTTTGGCGCAAGGGCAGCTCTGGGACGGAACCCCAACGCCCTCTGGGAAATGGAGTCCGCGCCAGCGAGACGCAAAGGCTACCGGAAGTTGTAGTTCGCGTCCGATGCGCGCAGGCGCACTTTCCGGCGGCAGTCGCCGGGTAGCTCCTTTGTGGCAGTCGGTCGGCTTTTGTGGGAGGCCGGTCTGCTTGGTCGCGCATCTGGGCCACCGTAGGCCGGTCTGTCCGTCCACCGCCGGGCCTGTCTGCCGGCCGCGCTCTGCACCAGCTGGCTCCGGACGGCTGAGCCTGAGCCCGGCGGTACTCCCGGCCCGCAGTGTCCCGGGAGAAGTGTGCCGGGCTGTGCGGGGCGCGGGTGATGGGGCGTGAGCGCAGCCTGGGGTGTGGGGCGCTTGCGGAGCTTGCCTGACCCCGACCTTGGGGGTGGGGAGCGGCGCAGGGGGCTCCGCGGGCGTGACCGTGACCGTGCAGCCGGGAGTGCGGGGGCCTCCCCCCGGGGCCTCCCTGCAGGCTGCCCCTGAGCCCCAGCAGCAGGACCCGCGCCCCTGGGCCTGGCCTGGGGCCCAGGAGGCTGCAGAGCCGCGCACGGCCGGGGGAACGCTGCCGAGGGCGCCATGGAGATCCCTGCCCCGAAGCCCCGGGAGACAGGTACAGTTGGCTCGTCTAGTCACTGGGTCTGTGGACCTGGCTCGAGGAGGCTGACACTCAGGTCAGGCTAGTGTCCCAGAAGCACTTGGCAGAGTCGGGCCTCCTGCCTCTCACCGTGCACACCCGTTCGTTTCCAGTTCTCAAGCATGCTGAAGAGGAAGACAAGGGCAGTGTTTTTCCTCCAGATTGTGCCGATATTCGGGCTCGCTCCCCACCCCACCCGCGGGGGCGGTTCCTGAGTCCTCTCTGAGCCTGCCGGGTGCTAGGGGTGGAGTGGGCTTCAGCTCAGCCCTGCACCGGGGGCTATGGGCAGAGCAGCCCCTTTGACTCATTTCTCCTCCCCAGCTCGGTCCTCTCAGGAGCCTGGTCTTACCTTCAAAAAGAATCCAGAGGATAAATTGGATCAGGGTCTCCTGGAAGCCAGGTCCGCGGTGAGTGGTTGCCTTTTCTTCCTTCTGAACATCTCGTTCTTAATGAAGAGGGTTCGCACTTTTCCCCTGCCCGGAATCTTCACCCAAGGGGTCCCCCCTCCCCCTCTCCCACTCTGGGGGGCCGTTCTCCCTTCCTGGGGATGCTCTGGGCAGGGGAACAGCTCCGGTTGGAGAGAGTCCAGGTGTGCCCTTGAAGTGTCTCTTCTCCCCTGATTCAGCTCATTTGGTGAGTCATTTGCCCAGGACCTGTTTGCCCAGCACCATACCAGGAGCTCTGAGGACTGATTTTAGTGGATCCCGAGCAAGTAGATGACAGCTCATGAGATCACTTCAGTCACCTCCACATGCAGACTTAGGGCATGGTCCTCACCTGGGGGAGTTTTCTGGGATGGAATCAGGCAGGGGAGTGCGAAACAGCTGAAAGAAGGCTGCATGGTAGCTCCAGGGTAAGAGTGTTGGGAGGGGGTTGCATCCCTGTGTGCCTTTTCCTCTGGGAGGGGCCCCTGGAATGAGGCCGTCAAGGAAAAACCTGGAGTTTTAGAGGATCTGGGAGCTCAGCAAGGAATTGGCATGGGGCCACTTGTGCAGCTAAAGTGGGCCCCAAATCCCCCCTTTCACAGACTTATTTCTTATCTTACTCAACCACTTAAACCACCCTCATCCCTCACAGTATTTGAAAGAGTACAGTTGATAAGAGAGTACAGTAGTGAAAAACTCTGGAGCGTTGAGGGTCCTTTGATTCTTTCAGGATTTTGTGATTGTGTTAGCCTCCCACTTGAAAGGAGTCTGATTACAGAAAAATAGAAATAGCTCTAAAACACATCCTGAGATGTGGTGCCTAGCTACTGTCATGTGTTAGAATGCTCTGTCATTCTAGAACACGCTCAAAAGACTATTGATAGTCAAATGTAGTACGTGATCTTTCACAGGTCATAGATCCAAAAAAATTGAAAAAACCCTCAATCAAAGGCAGTTTGGGCAATTGAGGAAATTTGAAAATGGATTTTTCTTAGATCATATAGCATCAACATTACATTTCTTGGGTGTGATGATACCACTGTGATTGGGTAGGAGAATATACTTAGAACGTACAAGGTGAAGCCCATAGGGTGAGATGTCGTGATGTCTGCAACTTACCCACAGATGGTTCAGCAAGAAGTGCATGTGTGCACTTGTGAGTGATTACCTCAGGGTAGTACCCTTCTTGTGCATAGGTGTTATTTCTAAAATATCAACTTCTTAGAGCCTTGAGTAACTGGTCCTGCTCTTCTCAGTACTCTTCTTGCCTGGCAGCCCCACTCAGACTCACAGTCAAGTGTTTTGCTCTCCTGAGACATCCTGCACGATCTCTTCTGACTTCCCCACTAGTTTCATTACCACACATCGGCATTTGATTCGCTGGGGTTTGTTTCCTATCTTACAGAATGAAGATGCATGGGACATGGACTTCTCTCAGTGTAAATAGCCACCAGACAGCCTGTGCAAGGCTCAGGTCCTACCCTGCCCTTACCTGTTGACACCCCCACACGGAAGACATGTGGCCTCTGACAGCCCCCTTTCTCCAGCACCACATTCTGATGTCTCTGGAGCTTTGTTTCTGCCCATGTTTTTCATTTCCCCTGCTAATGCCATGACCATTATGTGTTATTCCTGCATGCCTCAGCTATGGGCATGTTCTCAGCATGTGTCATCACCCCCACCTTCTTGTCTTCCTGAAATCCAGTGGCTTTTTTGGATCACATTTACTGAGGTATAATTTATCTACAGTAAAGTTCTCCAATTTTAAATAGAGGATTTGATGAGTTTGTGTAACCAGCACCACAATCATAACCTAAAATGTTTCCATCACCCAAAAAGTTCCCTTCATGCCCCTTTGCAGTCAGTCCTCTCCCCACTCCCACCCCTTGGCAACCACAATTTTGCCTTCTTAAGAATTTCATATGGGAATATATAGTATATAGTCTTTAGTTTCTTTTTTTAAAAGATTTTATTTTTAAGTAATCTACACTTAATGCAGGGCTTAAACCTCATCTTGATTAAGAGTCGCTTGCTCTACTAACTGAACCAGCCAGGTGCCCCACATAGTCTTTGGTTTCTAATTTCAGTTAGCATAATGCTTTTGAGTTCTTTATGTGAATCAGTAGTTTGTTCTTTTTTGTTGCTGAGTAATAATACCATTTGTATTAGTTTACAAGGGCTGCCATAACAGTGCTACAGATGGCTTAAACAGCAAAAGTTTATTGTCTCAATTCAGGAAGTTCAAGATCAAGATGTCAGCAGAATTGGTTTCTTCTGAGGCCTCTCTTCTTGGGTTGTGAAGATACCTTTTCTCAGTGTCTTCACATGGTCTTTCTCTGTGCGTATCTGGTTCAAAGTTTTCTTTTTTTATAAGGACACCACTCCTGTTGGATGATGGCTCATCAAAATGATCTAATTTTTCCTTCATTATCTCTTTAAGGATCCTATCTCCAGGCATACTTTTCTGAGGTACTGGGGCAAAGGCTTCAACTTATGAATTTGGAGGGGTCACAACTCAGCCCCAAACACCATTATATGGGCATTTATAATTTGTTCATCCATCCATCAGCTGAGAGATATTAGGTTGTTTCCAGGTTTGGGATATTACAAGTAAGCTTGCTCTAAATGTTTGAATACAAGTATAGACATGTGTTTTTTTTTATTTTTTATTTTTAAAGATTATTTATTTATGAGAGACACACGGGGGGGGGGGGGGGCAGAGCCACAGGCAGAGGAAGAAGCAGGCTCCATGCAGGGAGCCCAATGTGGGACTTGATCCCGGGACTCCAGGATCACGACCTCAGCCGAAGGCAGGTGCTAAACTGCTGAGCCACTCAGGGATCCCCTAGACTTGTGTTTTAATTTCTCTTGAATATATATCTAAGTGGAATTGTTGAGTGAGATAGTAAATGTTTATTTTTCGATCTTATTGATCATTTCCAAGAGCCATCTTTGGTATCATTGATTTTTCTCTATTGCTTTTCTCTCCTGTTCCATTTATTTAAGGTTCTTATTATTTCCTTCCTTTACTTATTTTGATTTCTTAAAGTTGAAACAGATATTGATTTGGCACCTTTCTTCTTTTCTCATATAGCATCCAATGCTATACATTTCTCTCTAAACACTGCCTTAGCTACATCCCCCAGATTTTATGTTGTATTTTCATTTTTTCAGTTCAAAATAGATCCAGTTTCTGTTGTGATTTCTTCTTCAACCATGTGTTATTTAGGAATGTTTTTAATTTCCAAATTTTTGGAGGATTTTTTTTCCAGATACCTTTCTACCTTTTTTTTTTTTTTAAGATTTATTTATTTATTCATGAGACTCAGAGAGACAGAGGCAGAGACAAAGGCAGAGGGAGAAGCAGGCTCCTCACAGGGAGCCTAATACGAGACTGGATCCCAGATCCCAGGATCATGCCCTGAGCCAAAGGCAGATGCTCAACCGCTGAGCCACCAGCCCAGGTGTCCCTCCAGATATCTATTAGAGATTTCTAATTTAATTCTGTTGTAGTTGAAGAAGGAACTTTATATAATTTGAATTTTTTCAGATTTACTAAGATTTATTTTATTGCCCAGAATGTGCTTTATCTTGGTAAATGTTCTGTATGCACTTGAAAAGAATATGTCTTCTGCTTTTGTCAACTAGAGTATTCTGTGAATGTCAATTAAGTCCAGTAGAATGATGGGTTAATCAATTGTTCTGTATCCTTACATATTTTCTGTTTTTGAGTTCTAGCAATTATTGAGAGAGATTACTGTTAAAATTACCAAGTATAATCATGGATTTGTCTGTTTTTCTTTTCAGTCCTATCAAGTTTTTGCCTTATGTGTTTTGAAGCTCTATTAGTAGATACATTTATAGTTAAGATTGTTGTGAGTTCTTAATGAATTGCTGTTGTGATAATGACCATTATGTAATCATGTAATAATGATTATATAACATCTCTCTTTGTCTCTGATGATCTCCTTTGCTCCAAAATCTGCTTTGTCTAATATTAATATAGCCACTGCAGCTTTCTTTTGATTAGTATTTGCAGAGTATATCTTTTCCCACTCTTCCACTTTTAGTTTACCTTTGTCTTTGTTTTTAAAATGGGTTTCTATAGCTAACGTATGGTTGGGTCTTAATTTTTAAATTCAACTTGACAATCTCTTATTTTCAGTCGGAGTGTAAAGACCATTCACATTTGGGCAGCCCCAGTGGCACAGCGGTTTGGCGCCGCCTGCAGCCGGGGGTGATCCTGGAGACCCGGGATCGAGTCCCACGTCGGGTTCCCTGCATGGAGCCTGCTTCTCCCTCTGCCTGTGTCTCTGCCTTTCTCTCTCTGTGTCTATGAATAAATAAATAAAATCTTTAAAAAAAAAAAAAAAACAAAAGACCATTCACATTTGAGATGCCTGGGTGGTTCAGCAGTTGAGCGTCTGCCTTTGGCTCAGGGCATGATCCTGGATTCCCGGGATGGAGTCTCACATCGGGCTCCTTACATGGAGCCTGCTTCTCCTCCCTCTGCCTGTGTTTCTGCCTCTCTTTCTGTGTCTCATGAATAAATAAATAAAATCTTTTTTTTTTTTTTTTATTTTATGATAGTCACACAGAGAGAGGGAGAGAGAGGCAGAGACACAGGCAGAGGGAGAAACAGGCTCCATGCACCGGGAGCCCGACGTGGGACTCGATCCCGGGTCTCCAGGATCATGCCCTGGACCAAAGGCAGGCGCCAAACCGCTGCACCACCCAGGGATCCCAATAAATAAAATCATTAAAGAAAAAAAAGACTATTCACTTTTACTATAAGAATTGATGTGGCTGGATTTACCTCTGCCATTTTGCTATTTGTTTTCTATATGCCTTGTGTCTTTTTTGTTTCACCCTTAATGCATTCTTTTGAGGTAAACAAATACTGTTTTAGTATACTCTTAATTTCTCTGATTTTATTAACTTGAATTTTCTTTTAAGTACTTTATTAGATGCTGGAGTGAGTT